AAGAGCAGTGCGCAGAAGCCAGAAGCGGTGAAGACTGAAGAGAATAACTTCTAGTTTCGAAACCGAATGCTGAACCTGAAGCCTCTGCCAGTCTGCCTGATTCTGCTGACGCCGGACTGGTTGAAGGAGAAGACTTCGAGCTTCGGCCGCTCCCGTTCGCTACTTCGCCGGACGGAGGAGGAGGAGAGCTGAAAATTTTTGGTTGACAGTTGACACTGAATGCTCAAACCGGAGTGAAAGGGTTTGGGAAATGTCTGAAAAATTCGGTGATTGGGAAATGGGAATGAATTGGGTATTTGGGTTAATTGGTTTTCATTTGGGCTAATGACTAGTACTGGGCTAAACAGGGGCTAAATAGTGGGCTACAACCATTTAAAAAATTTTTTTATTACATCTGGGCTTGGGCTGCTCTGGGCTATCCTCCCCTGATTTCAGGTATACGATCAAAGGTGTATTTAGATACCTAGAACTTCTTCTTCTTGTGCTCTTCCTCCTCATTCCTCTTTTGTGTCCTTGGTTTAATTTTTCACAGATTTAGCCCCCGTTTGTCACCCATTAATTTCTCATTCTCATTTTCATTCTCATTCTCATTCTTCATTTCAACCACACATTCTCCAAATAAAATAATATTACACACAAATCAAAAACTTTTCATCACTTTTTCACCACACATTCTCACATCAATCACTATTCTAAAATTTTTATTCTCTTCCAAATAAAATAATATTACACACAAATCAAAAACTTTTCATCACTTTTTCACCACACATTCTCACATCAATCACTATTCTAAAATTTCTATTCTCCTCAAAATTAGATTCAAACACACCCTTAATGCTCTGCCCAGACTTCAGAATATTATCCTTAGACCCTTACCTTTTCCATATATGCCTACAATTGTCCTTTGGGCTTAAAACTGCATACCAGGCTCCAAAAGATCCTTAATAATCTTCTCGGTTCTATTCATTGCACACAATGATCCCCATAAACTAGTATTTCTTTTGCGTACAGCCTGCAACCCTTGTACACATCAACTGACCATCTTGAATTCTCTCTCTATGACAATGAAATGCAGAGATAGGTATACAAATTGTTTCTACTCCATTGACTAGAATTGATGGACGCTTTAGGATAGTTTGCCTACTACATTTTCTCTCTCGATATCATTTAGATTATCCATGGTTAAATATCGAGGATCATCTGGCTAGAAAGCGAGAGTATAAGTAATGAAGACAGTTGTCTGATGTTAGTGTTATACTTATTTGCAGCAGAATATTGCTTCTAATTGTAGTTTTGGCTTTAGCTACTAGACATATATGAAGAGATGGCTTGTTTTACATTTCTTTTTAAGTAGCCTTCGTGGTAGGCAAACTCTGTCCGAGATTTTTTTTTCTTGCCAATTTTCCCTTAAAGGAGCTTCTTGCGATTTTGGGTGCTTGCTTTCCGTCTTTCCAAACTATGGATCTGTCACTTGACATTTGTGTAATGGATGGCAAACTTTTGCTCCAGATGTACTTACCTATATACCGGTGCTATTATACAGGCATCTGCTCAGGATCAGGGAAAGTCGAAGAACGATGCTGGAAACTGAATACGCTGGAGTTTCAATTCTTCATGATTTGCACCAGCAACGTCAATCTCTTCTATATACACATAATACTGTGTGTCTTATTTTCTCTGTTAAATGTTTTTCACGCCTCTTGGTTTTGTTTTGCTGAAAGTATCAGACGAATGTTTTCTGCTCTAACAACAATATCCAAAATTGAACAGAGGCTCTTAGGCTGTTAGTTGTAAAGATCAGATAATCAAATAATTTCCCTTTTTGCAGCTTCATGGAGTGGACGACAACATCAGTAGGAGCAAGAAAATTCTTACTAATATGTTGAGAAGGATGAGCAGGAACAAATGGATCATTGGTTCTGTCATTTCAGTCTTAGTCATAGCAATTATTTTGATTCTCTACTTCAAGCTCACCCATTAACTTTTTGGCCTGAATATTTGGGATCCTGTGTGTTGCATTTTTTGTGAGGATAATTGTGAATGTTTTTGGTTTATGTACTTTTGCTCAAGTTCCTGACCTTGTGTACCGGCTTCTCTGTCTGTGTTCCTCAATTTTTTATTTTTTTTCCTACTGGTGGTAATGCTACATTTTCCATTGTGTTTGTGTGTATCATGTTTCACTTTAAAAGTTACATGGTTATCGATTTGGCATTCTAGTCTATGACTTTCTTTTTAAATGTTTTGTCGACCGTGACAGTAATTGATCATATGTTTATATGACTATCAAGTTCATATTTTCTAATATCATAAAATAAGTTCACACTTATCATTCTGAGATAAAGTTCACCCTTGAGTGAAGAATCCATCTTAGCTTTTCAACCTTCCTTTTCGTTTCTGAATCAGGTTGTCCTTTAAGATTGACTATAACACGGTAACACCATTTACCGTCTTCAGAAACTGTACCCTCACACGAGGTCTACGTTCTGCAAGCCTTTTTCGGTTCTCCAAATCTCAGGCACTTGACAACAATGGAGATCTCATCTTGAGCATCTAAATTTCACAAAACTGGTGTTCACTGATCACAGGAATGTGTCGTAAGCCTTGATCCCTCGCGATGTATTCTAACATCTTCAGTCCTTTGGACATAGGAAGGTCGACTTTAGAAAGAATATTATATATATATCAGGCCCTTAGGCATTCAATGCATGTAAGCTGTCTATGCGACCTTGCTGAAGTCTCTGCAAAGAAAGATTTATCCACATTAAGCATCAGATAAGAACTTCTGAATCAAATGGCTGAATTTTGATACAGGAACAAATTGTATGATAAATTATAGTGTGATAGCACTCTTTTGGTGTACTTAACATGGTTATGCCGTATTGGGAGTTTATTGTGTAGTTCTAAGCAGAGTTACTGAAGTTCATAAACGTTGTAGAAAAGTAGAAAGTTTGTATGATTTTTCAAATTTGGCTTGTTGGCTATTTAAAATTTGTCTGGCAGGATTTCTAATTTTGCTCTTTGTAAAAGAGCTTTTCTAAGAAGTAACCTTAAATCAACTTATCAACTTTCTCTAGAAGATCTTCTAGCATGTTTGATTTGACATGTAGACAAACAAGATTTTCACCTTTTTTTAATCTCGATTACATTGTATAGTACGATTCGACTCTTCTACCAAACACGCATTATGGTAAAAAGAACAAAAGGCATAGTTAACGATGATACAACCATCTATCGGTGGTTTAACAAATCCCAGGCGCTTTTTTTCCTGCCGTATATTCCAAACCACCAGGAGAGCGTAAACATTGTTTTTTTGAGAAGGACCTAGTTCTTTTACATGAGATAAAAATCTTTATTACCCAAAAGAACAATAAATAAACGAAATCATTCTTGCATGTTACATTGAGAACTTGCCAAGTCCGTGCATAAACCATCCTACGTTAAAAGTAAAAAGTTATTTCCCAGAATCTTAGAGGTAAGCCGTACAAGTCCACAAGCATGACTTGAACCAGCATATTGCCTTCTGAAGAAATGCCCGAGGATAGATGACAGCAGTCAAAAATTCTCAAGTCTCGATCCGAAATTAAACTTTTGTTATACCTGAAGTTTCCTCCGCATCTTTCATAAAGCCAGACTTTGAAGCACAAAGAAAGAAGAAAAGCATTCAACTCCCTGTCAAAGACAATAAGTAACTTCTTTTAGAAGCAACTCATAGCAACCCTTTTTTTTTTACTTATAAGGGAAAAGTAACTAATCTAAACATCCCAAACATGTCCTATATGAGCAAATAAGATCTTGATAAACTGAATAAAGACTGTACTTAGTTACCACATTGTGTCCTGTAACAGCAATATCCAGGAACATTCATGTCATAACAGTACAATTAAGTCTCCCCGAAATGATATTTGCAACAGAAATGGATATACAACGATGAAGATCAGACAAAATAATCAGAAAAATTATGAACAAGTACGCCTGGCCCGGTTTATTCAAATCCAATCGATATTATGCAACATAACTGCAACAACTAAACAGCAAATAAGAGCTTGAAAGAACATTAAATACAAAGCTATTTATTGATCAACTAGCTTTCTTCTCTTTTCCTGTCCCAAAAAAAATACGATCATTTAAAAAAATCAATTTACTAAATAAAAAAGATTAAAACAATGAGATATATGACAAATTAATATCAACAGTAATCCATATATACTTCTTGTTACAACTAACCATGACGGAGAGACCCATTTCTTCTTTATTTTTGTTTTTCGTCCCCGTAACTTCACTTCTATCCTTTTAACCCCTTCACTTAACTTACCCATTTTATATTTTTCCCGGGGACGGGAGAAATTATGACAAAGAGTTATATTAGAGCTAATATTTGTCATCACGCAGTTAGATGAACATGGCAGTCATTCGTTAAGCACTACAATATAATGACAATTATAGTAGATAAGAATGCCAAATCTATTCAATGCTCACCTCCGTATCATAACCCTACAACCAAGTTTATAGTAGCTTGCATGAAGAGAAGTTTTTATCTTACCAAAAATTTTACATTATCAGAGGACATAAAATGCGAGTAACAGAATTGGTTAAGAAATGGAAAATGACGAAAAAAGTACTTAATAAGCAAAGAGAATTGGGAAAAGAAGGAACATCAGACTTATCACAAAGTACAAATAGGTTTAAAAGACGAAAATGAAAAACTGGAAAGTGCAAATCAAGGGGCATATTTTGTTAAAGCAGCATTATTGAACTAAATGCATATCATATTCAGAAAAATTAGAATTTTCAGCAAATAATGCCAAAACCATAAAGGAGGGATTAAGATTTTTAAATGAGGGATTAAGCCAATTGATCCTATATTTAGTATCAAAAGATACCAGATAACAGGCAACAGTAAATTTAATTGTAGAGATGAAAATGAGCCAAGGACAAAAAACAATTGAAAATAAGATGTATGCTTAGCTCGGTCTAATATGATTATGAAGTTACATACATATTTGCCAATATTATGAAACGACCACCATGAATGTGGCCCAAATATTATTTGGTATCATAGAAATCAGTCAATGTTAACTTCTTAGAACTTGCCAACTACCAACTAAATGACAACCTGAAGAAAGTAAAAGTACAGGAAGCTGCTAATAGAGAAGCATGTAAATGCAGATTAGTACCCAGGGACAAAAATTGGA